TCAGTGCAGATCAGTGAGTAAGCACAAGCCCGCATTGTTTCAGTACCTATGCTTAAACTATTATCTATTCCTGGACAATGCAAAAACCTAAAAACACTTGAACTTCATTTATTTCCTGACCTATATGTTATTGTTGTGGTGGATCTTAATTTGAAATGTTTTTAATTATTATTATTTTTTTTTTTTTTAAGAGAAGCTCTCTCTGATGGTGCAGTGGTTAACATATTCAGCTGCTAACCAAAAGGTTAGCAGTTTGAACTCACCAGCCACTTTGCAGGAGAAAGATGAGGCAATCTGCTTCCATAAAGATTTACAGCCTTGGAAACTATGGGACAGTTCTACTCTGCCCTACAGGGTTACTATGAGCTGGAATACACTTGATGGTAGTGGGTTTGATTTTTGGATTATTATTATTATTTATATAGCCAATATTCATTCAGCTCTACTCATATATCCGTTCTTTCTATTGCTTGTCATTTGTGACTACATCTGTGATCTTCACTCTGAGATCATTTTCCTTTTGCCTGAAGAAAAGCCTTCATTATTTTCTTTTGTGTGGGTCTGTTAGCGACAAAACTCTGTTTCTGTGATTGAATATGTATTTCACCTTCATTCTTAAAGACTATTTTTTCTGGGGATAGAAAAATTGGCAAATGTTTTCTTTCAGCACTCTTAATGTCTCTAATTTTCATTTTTTCTTTGAATTAAGCATGGCTTTTCTTTTAAATTCTGGTTGCTGTTTAGGATTTTCTTTGTCTTTGATCTTTATCAGTTTTTATATGGTATGATTTTGTATGGTTTTATTTTATGTATCTTGATTATAGAGTTTGTTGGTCTTCTCAAACATGGAGGTTGATGTCTTCAATGAGATTTGAAACATTTTCTTCTATCATTGCTTTACTTATGTCCCCTTTTTCTCTCTTCTGTACATTTAATTATCTGAGTATTAGAATGTTAGTTTTTCTCACTACATATCTTATTTGTCTTATCCTGTCTTTGATATTGTCAATCCTTTTGTACTTCAGTGTTTAAGGTGGATACTTTTTCTACCCTATTATCCATTTCACTGATTCTCTTTTCATCTATGTCTAAACAGTTATTAAAATCACCCACTGAGTTTTTATATATGTCAATTCTAGAATTTTTATTTTGTTCTTTCTGTAGTTTTCAATTCTTTGTTGAAACTTTTGTCTTCTACCTCCTTGAATATATTATAGTTACCTTCAAAACAGTGTCTAATAATCCCAATAGTTAGAGGTCCTATAAATCTGTTACTATTTCTTTTGTTTTTCTTGGTTTTTGTTTACATTATCAAGTATCCTGTGTGCCTGGTTATTTTTGAGTGAACGTCAGATATTATCGTTCTGGTATATAGCAATAGAAATAATTTGAGGCATGAAGGGGCCTATTTTGGAGAGGATTTACATTTGCTTCTGGCATATAGCTATGGAAGTGGCTATCCAAAATCATCTGCAACTAAACATCTTACACTCTAAAATCTAATTTAGAGCTTTCAATGAACAAAAAATGTGTGACAGTCCAGACTGGGAGAACCAGTCCAGTTTCAGCTCACCCTTACTCCTAGGAAGTAGTCCTAAAGGATCTAAACATCATAAGGGGAGGGTTAACTATCCCTCTTCTTCCCGTAAGCCTGTCAAAGAATCTGCTCAGCTTCTTATACATCAATTGCCTCTTCTGAAATCAACCAGTATTCTAAGGGTAAAATGATGCCAAAATGCTGAGCTCACATCTCTGGCCTTCTACTTTCGCTAAAATCTTGCCTTTGTTACTTTTCCCTGCCTTGTTTATATTCTGATAGTTGTTTTTTTTTTTTTAATTACCTCCTTTAAACTTTTTGGTAGTTGACGGTATTAGTTACTTAGGCTGATGTAACAAATTACCACAAACTGGATGGCTTAAAACAACAGAAATTTATTCTTTCAGAGTTCTAGAAGCTAGAAGTCCAAAATCACTGTATTGGCAGAGATATGTTTTCTCTGAAGGCTCTTTCTAGCTCTGGTAGTTACCATAAATCCTTAGCATGCTTTGGCTTATAGATATCACTCCACTCTCTGACATTATCTTCACATGATCTTCTCCCCCACGAGTCTATTTCTATATCTATTTTCCTCTTCCTATAAGGATATCAGTCATATTGTATTCCAGTATGACCTCATCTTAATTTGATTACATCTGCAAAGACCCTATTTCTGAAAAAAGGTCATATTCACAGGTACTGAGGGTTAGGACTACAGCATATATTTTCAGGCGGCACAATTCAACCCACATCATCCCAAGTTAGGAAGCATTACTTTGTGAATTCCAACTCAATTCATAGTGTTTCATTTGGTTTTCAATGCATTTTGACTGATCATGCTCTAAAATTTCCTAAATATCAGTTTTGCATCTGCATCGAGTAATAGAAAAGGGAGTTGCTTCAGTAACCTTACATGGTGCTTCTCACAGAGCTTGCATTCAGTAGATGATTATTGCATTTATTTTTGTAATAATAGTTAAAGTTCCACCTAGGGGAAAAAAACAATCAGATAAACACCATTCAAGACCAGTAATACTTACACTGATTTTCTTATTTTCATATCAACTTATATTTCTACTTTATGCTGTATAACTTTGCTTTAATGCTTGATCTGTATATACTCACCCATCTCTGAGAGGCTTTCTTCGTGATACAAGTACTACCAAGTCCTTAGGTTTGTCACCATTCACTACAGGACAGGTGATGTAATATATCTGATCATCTTCACTCACCCAATCTACAACTTCACAGGACCTATGTAAATAGAACGGGAGCAGGGGAGATTGAACTTTTCTACCTGCTATAATAAGGCATTAATTTCTCTTGTTTGCTTGCACAATCTCGTTATTGGTGTCCACATTCACCCCTTCAGCTCATCTATCCATTCCTTTGAGGTCAGCTTCATTGCTCAAATTCTGTTGTTAGAGTGAAATATGTGCTCAGAAGGAAAAAGTCTGTGACTTAGTTCCTTTGCCCTCAACCCTTCAGAGAAAGGCATTTAGGTGTTCTCTACAAGATGATTTTTCTTCAGAATATATTAGAAAGAGCACTAAGTTAAACAACTTGCATTTAATCCCAGATTGCCACCTAATAGCTATGTTATATTAGCTATATTTTTTTCATTTGTAAAATGTAGATAATAAAACATATTGTGATAGGTTATTGTGAGTATTAAATGAAAGCAGCTGGCAGAGTAGCTGAATCATAGTAAATATACAAAAGTTAGTTGAATTAGAGTTAATCCATTAATTCCTCCATTCTTTCAAGTTCAGTTTTACTAGAATGGCAGGTTACATAGAGAATATTGGAAGAAACATTTTTTTAATGACCAAAAATGCTTAGTCATTTTTCTTCCTAAATGTTTTATAGTTATAGAACATTTATAGATAGTAGTGTAAGAAAACTGAAGTGTTTCCTCTTTCCCAGATTGTTTTATTATGATAGTATTAATCATGATAGATCATTCTGCTATCTGTACAAATGTAACATGTGACACCAGAGACATTTCATTTGAGTGGTATTAAATAGTCTATTACACGGTAGTAATCACAGTGACCACCACTCATCTGTTACTTTGTCATTCTATGGTGGCTTGCATGTTGCCATGGTGCTGGAAGCTATCTCAGTGGTATTTCAAATACAAGCAGGGTCATCTATAGTGAACAAACTAAGATAGATTAGGAAGGTGATGATCTAGTTTTGAAAAAACTAGCCAATGAAAACTTTATGAATAGCAGCAGAACATTGTCTGATATAGTGCTGGAAGACGAACCTGTTGGATTGGAAGGCACTCAAAATACGACTAGAGAGGAGCTGCCTCCTCAATGTAGGTTGACATTAAAGAAATGGATGGAGTAAAGCTTTCAGGACCTTCATTTGCTGATGTGTCAACATTCAGAAAAATGGTTGCAGCAGTATACCAACAGAGAACTGTCAGAAATTCTGGACATATTCAGAAGATTCAATACCAAATGGATGTCAAAAGAGACTCTGAAACTTGCTCTTGACTGGACAGTAGCTAAAGCAAATGGAAGAAATGGTGAAGTAAAAGAATGGAACCCAAATTTCAAAGGGCAACTCCAGAAGACAAAGTAAAGCATTATAATGAAACGTACAAAGAGCTGGAGTTAGAAAACCAAAAGGGAAAGGCACAATCATATTTCAACCTGAAAGAACTGAAGAAAAAAGTCAAGCCCCTAGTTGCCATATAGAAGGATTCTATGGGCAAAAGAAGATGGAAGGAATACATAGAGTTACTGTACCAAAAAGAATTGGTTCACATTCAACGATTTCAGGAGGCAACATATGATCAAGAACTGATGGTTTTAAAGGAAGAAGTCCAAATTAACTGCACTAAAGACTTTGGTGAAAAACAAGCCTCCAAGAATTGATGGAATACAAACTGAGATGTTTCATCAAAGTTATGCAAGTTTGGAAATGCTCATTTATCTAGACCAAGAAATTTGGAAGATAGGTACTTGGCCAAATGCCTGGAAGAGATCCATTCATGTCCATTCCAAAGAAAGGAGCTCCAACAGAATACAGAAATTATTGAATAATATAATTAATAAACCACACAAATAAAATTTTGCTGAAGAAAATTCAAAAATGGTTGCAGCAGTACACCAACAGAGAACTATCAGAAATTCAGGACAGATTCAGAAGAGGACCTGGAATGAGGAATATCATTGCTAATGTCAGATGGATCTCAGCTGAAAGCAGAAAATACCAGGAAGATGTTTACTTCTGTTTTATTGACTATGCAAAGGCATTCAAAACTGTGAATAGTAAATTATGGACAACACTGA